AGAATCCCCAATCTCCCAGTAACAGAATCCCATGGTAACTGAGGATCCCATGGAACCACAGAATCCCCTGGAATCACAGAATCCCTGATGTCTCAGTTACAGAATCCCATGGAACCAGAGAATCCCAATGGAACCAGAGAATCCCCAGTCTCCAAGTCACAGAATCCCATGGAATCTCAGAATCCCTGATCTCCCAATCACAGAATCCCATGGAAATTCAGAATCCCATAAAATCTCAGAATCCCCAATCTCCCAGTCACAGAATCCCTGATCTCCCAGTCATGGAATCCCATGGAATCTCAGAATCCCCAATCTCCCAATCACAGAATCCCTGATCTCTCAGTCACGGAATCCCATGGAACCATAGAATCCCGTGGAATCACAGAATCGTTGATCTCCCAGTCATAGAATCTCATGGAATCTCAGAATTCCATGGAATCTCAGAATCCCATGGAATCTCAGAATCTCAGGATCCTCGCTCTCCCACTCACAGCACCCCGGAGCACCAGGGTCACCTGGAGCAGGTGACCCAGGGACACACCCAGGAGGGTTTGGGATGATTCCAGGGGGTCACTCCAGACCCTCCCTGGGCAGCTGTTCCGGGGCTCTGCCCCCCCTCCGTGGCGAGAAGCTCTCCCTCACCTTGAGGAGACCTCGTCACATTTTGGGGGAGCTCAAAGGTAGAAGCCAACCCTTCCAAAAGTGACCTGTGCCACCAGCCGGGTTTGCCAGAGCCTCCCACGGTGGCCACAGACTGCACGGTCCTGGTTTTGGGAAATGACCATCAGACAGGGAACCCTCGGCTCAGGTCTGGTCCCTGCAGGTGTCTCACGGGGTGAAAAACCACTTTAAAGATGTTTTCCAACCACGTCCAACCGGGACTTTCTAAGAATTTACCATTTTTTTACAGCCAGGACCTGAGAACTGCGGTTTTTCCCAACAAAGAACCCGGTCCTGCCTAGACCAGACATGGAGAACCGAACACTGGGACTTCTCCTTCCTGCCAGACTCCAGCTGGGAGGTTTCGGGAGGACAGGAACCTCAAAACTCACCACCTTTGCCACCCATTTTGCAACTTAAAACTCATCGCGCCGTGAGGGTGAGACAGCCGGGGCCGCCCACACGGTTTTCACTGCAGCCCGCAGGGGCAGGGCGCAATTAAAGCTGTGCAACACGAGGAAGACAATCCAAAGCCTGACAAATCAATCCAAGAAATGGGCTGGAAGGAGCTTTTGAAGGTGCTGGGTAATTAGGAGGTGTGGCTGTTTTGTAAATAGCTCGGTC